AAAAAACCATTACATTTCAATGATCCGTCTTCTTAGCCTTTCATGAATGATAAAATTAGAACACTTTTAATAGAACACGGACCAGAACAAGGTAAGAATTCAGATTTTTACTGTTCAGAAAATTTTGAGCAAAGAAAATTTTCAGCAGAGTTCAAATATAATGCATAATATAATTATTATTACTATTGCAATTTTTAATATTATTCACAAAATATATTCATAAAAGGCTCTCTCCCTGTTTATATATCATATTTAGAAGTGTTTGTACAATGTACATGTCGACAAAAATGTTTAATATGAAAAATAAGGTAAATCTGACGATTCTATCTCCAACTTTTTTCTAATGTTTTTACAATTATAAAAATATTTGTAGAGAGGGTGGGAGCGCTAGAAATGATTCTTGACACCGGGCGCTGATTATGCTAGGCACAGACACTAGGATTTTATCGGCTAATATACCATTAAAAAAAATTAATAATGTTGAATTCAAATCATTTTTGGAGAAGTATACCGATGAAGTAATTCCTGATGAATCTACTTTGAGAAAAAATTATTTAAACGATTGCTTTGAAGAAACTCTAACAAAAATAAAATCAACGTTTCAAGACAAAAAAATATGGATATCCATAGACGAAACAACGGACATTGAAGGTCGCTACGTTGCAAATGTGATTATTGGATCATTAGATATGGACAAGCCTGGTCAAATAGCTTTATTGAATTGTGAAGTATTAGATTAGGCCAATTATTTTACTATTTCTAAGTTATTTGATAAAAGTCTTCATCTTTTGTGGCCCGATGGCATAAAACATGAAAATGTATTACTTTTTGTTAGCGATGCTGCGCCATATATGGTTAAAGCGTGTGGTGCTATAAAAGCGTTTTATGATAAGATTATACGTGTTACTTGCTTAGCACATGCCCTTCACCGTGTAGCAGAAGAAGTAAGGCGTCTTTTTCCAAGTGTTGATAAGTTAATATCTAATATAAAAAAAGTATTTTTAAAATGTCCTAGTCGAATCGAAATATTTAGAAAAGTATTGCCAAATATAAATTTACCTCCACAACCAATTATCACCCGTTGGGGGACTTGGATAAATTCTGCAATATATTATTGTGAAAACATACAAAACATTCGCAATGTTATCGAACAGTTTGATACAGATGATGTAGTCTCTATACTTCAAGCAAAAGAAGTTTTGTCAGAAAAATCACTAGATTCAAATTTAATTTATATAAAATCTAATTTTAAGCTGTTGGCCACTGCAATTGAAAATCTTGAAAAATCGGGTATGACGTTACTTGATGCAATTAATATAGTAAAAAATGTAGATCAGAGTCATAAAAGTAATCAAAACGATAAAGGAATTGCTGTGTTTAAAAAATTTCAAAAAGTTATACAAAACAATAAAGGTTTTGGTATACTGTGTACGATTTCAAACATTTTAAATGGCGAAGATAACACCATAAAGACAGAAGAAAACTTAACGCCTGATGATTTAACTTGTTTTAAATACGCACCTATCACATCGGTAGATGTTGAGCGAAGTTTTTCCAAATTTAAACATTTTTTGACAGATAGAAGACGTTCTATGCATTTTGAAAATATTTCAAAAACAATAATTATTCAGTGTAATGCACATTTAAGTAAGTAAAACGAAATCCATTTTACATTATCAAAAAAAAAAAAAATTAAAATGATAATTTAATATTTCAGATTAAATCAACAATAAAAGATGAAGACATAATACAAATACTTCAATTTTTTATCTAAATTATTCATCCATTTTATTTTTATTTTAAGTCTTTAACCGTTTTAACAAATTTATATTTATACTATTTCATAGCAGATTAGACATTTTTGAGCATATTTTTACACATTATTTAGGAATAATTATTTTGTACATTTTTTTGGCATATAATGATGTTTTATCAAGCATATTTTAAAAATGGTTACAGCATATATTAAGTTTTTTGGAGCGTGAACATCCGCCCTTTAGTAATAACCTTTGTATTTTTTTTTATTACTTATCTTAATTTTTTGAAAAAAAATAATAATAAAAATTTCAAAATACCTAGTTTTCCAAAATGAATTAATTTATAAATTAAGTTATATTGAATAAATTAATTATTCAGACAATAAAAAATGATTCAAATAATTTTCAAACACAATGCTAATACAATATACATATCAGTATATTCGATTTTTTTTCTAGTTACTTTTTTTTTTTTTTTTTTTTTTTATTATTAATAAAATAAGACATTCCTAGCCGTTGCAGGCTATCTATATCTATGGATAAAAGACATTTTTGTTTGTAGCTATTTTAAGAGGATAATTAAAATATACTAATTATTACGATATGAATATAGTGGTATGTTAACAGATACTTGAGATACAATATAAATGCAAACTATTATAATATGTACAATTAGACTGGAGGTTGATTTTGAGTAATGAGGTCATGAGGGCGGCCACGTTTTAGACGTCGTTGGAGTGGTGGATGAATATGGAGATTGTAGTGAAGTGAGCCTGTTGAGTTGAGTAATGAAGTATGGAATTTTTTTTGATAGTGTGCGTATAAGGTCTTCGATTTTAACAATTTGGAGGTCTTTGTGAATGTTTTCATTCCGAATGAACCACGGAGCATTTGTAATAATTCTTAGCACTTTGTTTTGAAATATTTGAATTTTTTTTAGGTGTGTAGCCGAACAATTCCCCCATACTGGACAAGCATAAGTTATTAATGGTAGTAGAAGTTGCTTGTATATTAGGATTGAACATTTTTTTTGAATGACTGATTTTTTATTTATTATTGGAAATAGCATCGATAGACGTTGATATGCTAGTTTTAGTTTTGTTGATAAGTGAGGCCCCCAGGTCAGCCTCTTATCAAGAGTGACTCCGAGATATTTTACAGTTGGTTCCCAAGGTATAGGCACGTTGTCGAATTTTAATGGAGGTGGTGCGGAGTAGCGACGAAGGCTGAAGATGATTGCTGTACTTTTTGATGCGTTTAAAATGTACTAATTTAGATAATTCTATATTTATTTCATTTAGAGTACTTTTCTATTTATTTCAAATACAAAAAGATTTAAAATAAATAAATACACGTGGTTCGGTGAAATAAAAGTAATGTATAACTATAATTTTTTAATTAATTTTATATTTTGTTTTTATATATTGTGTATTATATGATATATTGAGTTTGAAAACACTGTAATAATTAATTAATTTTAATTGATTAGTTTGTTAACTTTTTTTCATTCGCGTATTTGCCTTCATTCTGAAGAGACCAATACGGTCCTACAAATTTTGTGTGTAAATTTTTATATAAATCCATGTGTGCACAATATTTAAGCTATTAAATATTTTTTATCTACGACACAGTAAAGGGTAATTACCTAAATTACAATATAATATAATATAATGTAACTGTAGTCGGCGACACGAAAAGTGGCTCCTGCCCGTCACGAACCTAGCGGCCGTTTCGCCTCAGTGGTTCATAACGTAATTAAACTAATTGCCACGTTTTTTTGAATTAAAAATTAATTTACTGAAAATACTTATAAACCAATCATTTGTTTATTCAAATCAAATGGAAAACATTGAAAACTTAAAATTGTATTACGAGTGGCGCGCCACGGATTATGTGGTATAGGTTGAAAATCAATAGCTAATGGGTAGGGAAGCAACAACGGGTCGCGGTACACAGGGGCCACTTTTCGTGTCGCCGACTATATGTAAAATAATTAATGAATAATTAGTGAACATATTTTTTTTATCATTGAGTATAACGATAAATAATAATAAAATACATTATTACATATTTATTAAATAATGAAAATAAATTAATAACCAAAGAAAAATATGTTATGTATAATAATAAATTATTATAAAATAAAATGTATACTGCATTATATTTTGTATAATAAAAAATTATTTTATAGGTTATTATTTATTTAAATTTTATTTTCTTTAATATAATTATATAATTAGTTATTCCAAATTTTAATGTGTTTTATACCATTTAAAACATGTAAAAAAAAAAAAAAACGTAAAAATATTCAAAAAATAAACAATAATAAATAATTATAAATGGTTGTGTGCATTTTAATGAATCGTAAAAATACAAGACTGGGAAAGTTAATGATTTTTTGAACTCGGTGAAGTTAAATATTTTTTGTTTAATTAAATTAAAAGTTAAGTTTATAGATTATTTTAATATATCAATTAAGTTTAAAGTAAAGTTAATAAATTTTGTTGATTTAACTTCAAATAATAAGTTAGGTTTAAAAAAAAAAATGTATTGAAAAAATGTTAAAATAAGTGAAAATCACTTACATAGTAGGTATAATACATATGCATGTATTAATATGTAATATGTATATAATTTAGTCTCATGATAAAATGCATTACAATCACAGAACAAAAAATCGAATGATAATCTATGAATATTTTTTAAGAGCGTTTAATTTTTTATAAAACTTATAATTTACAATTACAGTATTATAATAATAGAAAATTAATTACTCATAATATATAAATGTAATATTATTAATTATCCTAACTCCTAAGCTTATATATCGTTTCCATTCATAATTTTTTATTGTATTAAATGGTACCTACCATTGCATTTATATTTAACACATCCATTATAACCAGTGGCGGATCCAGGATTTCATTTTTTGGGGGGGGGGCCATAGTCCAAAATGCAAATCTTAAATTTTTTCAGTAATTAACAAATACATACAAATAGACAATAATTTTAAATGTGTATTTTTTTTATTTGTTGAAGATTATATTTAAATTATAATAATATTGTAAATATTTATAACGATAAAGATAATTGTAATTTCCTAGGATTAGATTTTGAAAACATATCTAACATTTCTTCAGGTTTTACATCAATTTGTTTATGGATATTAAGCAAAGCTAACCCGTTTAAACGGTTTTCCCCCATTTTTGTTCTCAAGTATGTTTTTATGCGTTTTAGCGTTGAGAAAGACCTCTCACTTGTCGATGTTGTTACTGGTAATATTGCTAAAATTAGTAAAAGTTGACGAATGTTTGGAAAATACCCATCTTCAGTTTCTTTGAATGCGTCTATTGCTGTATTTATTTTTTCCTTTTTTACTGGTTGTTGAGTCCAATGCAGCTGCCACAATGCAATTTCACCTGTAAATTATTGTAATAATGCATTTATAATTTATTTCAAAAATGTAATACCTAGTTATTTATTATAATAATTGTTTTTACCTTTTAATTCGTCTATGGATCCAGGCAAATCTGCTTCATAAAAAGTGGCACCTTCTATAATATGTTCTTCAGATTTATTGTGTAAATAATAAGGTGTCAGTTGTTGGATTTTAAATAATATTGGATTTTGGTTGTCAAAAAACATGGATTGAATAGATGTTATGAAATTGTCCAAAACTGTGAAGTATACCGTAATTTTAAAATATTCTTCAGGACTTGAAGTAATGTTGTTTGATCGATTTATTTGTTGTTTGCATATTCGTGGTGTTTTAACTTCAATGTTTAAATTTTCGGCTTTTGATACGGCTCGATTAAAAATGTTGTTAAATGTTGCATTTTGTCTTTTGTTTTTAAGAACATCTAATACAGTCTGTATGATTTCAATACATTTTGTCAAATCCAAACCAGGGTCTTGTAATTTACGTGATATTGGCAAAGTCAAAGACAATATTTCTACTGCTACTTCTAAGGCCAAAATAAATTCAAAAGTCAATATTGAATGAAGAAGTCCGTTACATTTAGAAAGTATATTTCCATCCGTATTAACTGTCATGTCTTCCAAAAATTGTACAATAGGTACAAGCATATCGGAAAACCGAATAATCGCCTCGTGAGATTCTACCCATCTAGTTTCACACAACTTCACTAGCAAAACTGATTTTGATGAAGGCAAAATTTCATTTATTTTTTTTTTAAATAAATCAACTCTTTTGGGAGAATCACGCACAAAGTTAGATACTTCTTTGACTGTAGAAAATAATTTTTTTATAGATAATACATTACATGCTTTTATTAAAGTTAAATTTAGGCGGTGCGATGCACAATGAGTGTATGTTGCCTTTGGTTGCAAATTTAAGATTCTAGCTTGAACTCCGCGGTATTTACCTGACATATTTGCTCCACCATCATATCCCTGCCCTCGTAAAAATTCCAAACTTAAACCAATTTCTTTTAATTTTTGGACGATTGTATTTGCTAAATTTTCACCAGTACATTCATAAACCGGAACAAAGCAAATAAAATTTTCTTTTATCAAGCATGATTTTAAATCAACATATCTAATCGATAAACTCATTTGCTCAATGTGTGATAAATCAGAAGTTTCATCACATAAAATTGAAAAAAATTTACATTCATTCACCTCTTTTATTAATTTGTCTGTGATAATCGAGCCACATATATCGATCAAATTATTTTGAATAGTTTTACTAACAAATGTTGCATTTTTTGGAGCCGATTCTAAGTGATTGCGAAGATCTACATCGCCCGCGTCTATTCTGAACATCAACAATTCTTTGAATATTCCAATATTAAAATTATTTTTTGTTTGGTCATTTGAAATCAGATTTGATAAATTAACATCGTCTCTATGCCCCCTTATAGATATATTATGACGACCATAGAAAATAATTGTTTTAATTATAGGAATTAACTTCTTTTTATTTTGTTTGACAGTTTCATTTAGTTGGTCATCAAGTTGAATTTCTATTGTTTTTTGTTTGCCTTTAAAACATTTTATAAATTCTAAAGATCGCACAATTGCTGTTTTATGATATTCTCTTTCCATATGTATCTTAAAATCGTGTAAAGCATCTTTGTATTATATCATAGGAATTTATTTTAAGACCCCAAGCCTTTGTCCTCCAATCCCACCAAACTTTGGTCCAAAAAGTACACATACTTTACAAAACGCTCCTTCTCTATTACGACTATAAGCTATCCAGTTGTGCTTATTTAGCCATTCAATTTGAAAGCTTCTTTTATGACCTTTTTTATTCATACTTATAGGGAAAATATAATTTTGTTTAGGTGACCACGTTTCTTTTAAATATTTGTAAAGCATATTTGGATCGTTTCGAATTTTTAGATTTGCATTTTCTTCAATAGCAAATGCGATATCATATTGACTGTTAAAATCAACTTCACACGAATCAGAAAATGTAGCTGGCTCTGACTCTGTTGGTAACATTCTTACATTTTCTATACCTTCACTTGGAGATGGATTATTTTCGTCACTTGTTTTCAACTTTTTAAAAAAAAAAGTTTATTTCACTTTGTCGTTTTTGTGACATTTTAAAACAGAATAATTGAACACGAAACTACAAATGAAAACACTACGGACAACAGCAGTACAGGCGAGTACAGCACGAAATACGAATTACACACGAGTGACACGACGACTGTAAAATTACTAACATTTTAAACGATAATAGCAATATAGAAATGGATTAGTGAGAATCGTCTTACAAATAAAATAAGATAAGATAGCGATGGCCAGTAGGAACGATACATGGCAAAAATAGCCGGTCTGCCGTCTGCGTTAAGGCGAAATGCCTTTATACCCGCATAATAAAAGTAATAGTAATATGTTTGGGAGAATTTCTTATATAATGATAATATAAAATATATGTAATGATAATATTTCTTAAATTATAATATAATGTGTTTGAGCGAAACAATATAAAAGATAAAATTATCAAAATTAATAATAAAAAATAATAAAACCTAACTTATGCCAATGGGGGGGGGGGGGGGCCGAGGCCCTTCGGGCCCCCCCTTAAATCCACCACTGATTATAACGACCTACCTATGAGCGAATTTCACTAGACACCTACTATAGACGGTATGCACAGAATTGATAACAGCGCGTCGTGGTAGTAAAAGTATTAACTAATTTCGGGGATCTATATTGTATTATGCACATCACTTTACGTTCAAAATTCAAATATTTATATTTGATTTGACTTGTGAATTCTGTCTTATACTTACTTTTAAAATTAAATGATATCAATTATATTTGTATCATGATTAACTAACCATCATAATCATAATTTCTATATTGTTATCTTTTAATTTAGGTACCTACTAATGTAGTTGTTCTGACTTACCTATGTAAAAAGTTTTAGTCTTATTAGCGAGTTTGTTTACTATATTTTATATTTTTATCCGTGTTAATTAAAATAAACCAATAAGACTGATTTAATTTTGAACCACGGATTTCAGTCGGTTTCGTACAATATAGAATTTACAAATAATAAAGAGAAGAAGTTGTATGAAAGCAATCATGTCAAAAATGTAGTAGAGATAAAATGCAGCAATGGATGGTCTTATATTTAAGGCTCAGTTATAAGACAAACATCAGTTACTCTGGAACCATGGAAAGTAACTCTTCAAGTAAATAATTTTATATTTTTATATTTCATTTTTCCTTCATATGTTTTTAAGAAACTTCAATTTGTTTAGTATTCTTGTATGTCTATTCCAAATCAAAATATTTAATTACCTATATATTATCATTAACTAAGTACCTTACTAGTTACCTGTGTACAGAAGATATTTTTTTTATGGTTAAAATCTTTAATTTATAAACAGATTGATGAAACCAGGTTGGTAATTTGTGCATCATGTGGTTGTCCTACTGGTGCTGGTGCTAAATGTAAGCACATTGCTGCTGTAATTTGGTATATAAACAATGAAAATGGAACATCAAAAACAAATTTACCACAAGAGTGGGGTTGACGCGGTCCCGCGTAATATTCCGTTTGAATTCAAACGGCCTTTACGCGGAAAACCGCGGAACGACTTCTTTATCCAACCACCAGCGACGACGGACGACGCCGACGCACGATCAACGGCGTCGGAACGTTTCGACCGCCGATACCGCGAACCGGTCCGACGACCGGAGGCCAGTTTTTCACCATACGCCGTACGCGACATATCATCCGTTTGGTTGTGATAATCGCCCGTACTGTGAACCCTTTTTGATTTTTCCCCTTGACCACAGTGACACTCACCTCGATATTTTGTGTTAAGCTTTTACTTAGTTGTTTATATATTAACACAATAAATTGACGACTACCGTCTCTTTCTTTTTAAAAAACCAACATCTCGTGTTCAACTTATTTTTTGCTACCTTGTCAACATCCCGCCGTCCCTCTCCACCTCCAGGTACGCATCAAATTGGCTCCCCGAACAGGAATTACCGGTAAGTAAACACTTTTATATTTACCCCATACTACTACCTCATCGTTTTCCTATTGTGCAACTTGCAAATTTCTCCCGAAAACCACACGACAAAAACGTGGTTTGCAGGCTATTACGGAAAATCCGGCGTTACGTAACATAATTAGATAGTACGTAACGATAGCCGCGCCACCTAATTTACGGACGCACCGAAATTACCGCGCGCGACGCTGCAAACACACGGGGAGTAGGATAGGTAGGACGCAAGAGCGCGATAAAGCGCTTTACACACTACCTGATTTGGTCGGGCCGACAGGATACCTGACCAAATCAGACGTTGCGTACACACAGTACGACCACCACATGATGTAGTCAGTCTGGTTCGTGCCCACTAGTGTTCGCATGTCCAAACCAACTATACCCAAACCACAATAAATCATGGCTCCGTTATCAAACCAACAAAAATTGGGAATTGGTTTAATAGCATTATCATTGACATTGACGGAAGAAAAGAAAAAACGAAGAATGTGGGCAAAAAAATGGTTAATTGAACGAAGAAAATTCAGCCACATGACATTACTAAAAGAATTGGATAGTGATGATTTTCGTACCTATTTAAGAATGGATTACAATTGTTTCGACGAATTACTAAATTTAGTAAGTCCGTTGATCACTAAACAAAATACTCATTTGCGAGAAGCTGTCAGTGCCGAAGAAAGACTTGTTGCCACACTAAGATATTTGGCATCAGGCAGAGAATATAATGATTTAAAATTCAGTACTGCAATTTCTCCACAGTTACTTTCAAAAATAATTCCAGAAACGTGTCATGCTATTTTTAAAGTGCTGAGAAATTTTTTAAAGGTAAGAACAATGTTTTTTATAAATTAACATATTTACCAGTTTAATCAACAATTACTTTGTAAAATATTAATAGTGTATATATAATAAATGAGAGATGTCTTAATTATTTCTTTATTAATATGGCAGATAAAAAAATAATAACAATACATTTTTATAATTTATAATTATTTATTCTTATTCAAGTTAAATCATTATAAATATTATTATAGATGCTTGAACAATAAAAATTCATTCACATTATATGAATGTTGTATATTATTTGGATCATTTGGTACTTCATTTGATGTAGGAATTGGCATGGTTGTTACTGGTGAAGTTTGAGAAGTGTCTGAATGCAAAGAAATCATTGTAGAACTAGGTGATGGTGTTGAAGAGTTATAAGGCATGGTCGTTACTGGTGAAATATGAGAAGTGTCTGAATGCAAAGAAAGCATTGTAGAACTAGGTGATGGTGTTGAATAGTTATAAGAATTATCATAGCCGCTTAATGAAATTGATGAACATAAAGTCAATTTTTCCAATTTTCCATAAAAAATAACTTCTGAAATCAATTTTTCAGCAATACATTTTTGAGTTTTAGTCATTTCTGCTAGCTGCATTCCTATATTTTTCCCATATATGTCCTCTGGACTATCTACTTTAGACATTAAATGTTGTGCACTTTCAATTAATGTTTGTTGTTGTTGTTGCAACTTTGTACCACGTCGTTTCTTACCCAATGTAGTTGATGATTCATTTACAATGCTTTGTGTTTCAGATACCTACAACAGAAAACGAATGGTTAGAACAGGCAAATCAATTTGAAACCCAGTGGCAGTTTAATAATTGTGTAGGTGCAATGGACGGAAAGCATGTCCTAATCAATAAACCACCAGGAAGTGGATCTCTATATTACAACTATAAGGGTACATTCAGTGTTGTTTTATTTGCAGTTGTCACAGCTGACTACAAATTTATGTATGTTCATACTGGTGTAAATGGGAGCGTTTCCGATGGTGGTGTTTTAAAACATACAACATTTTATAAAAAACTAACTTCAGGACAACTAATGCTACCACAACCTAAGTTGCTTCCTAATACAAATACAACAGTACCGTATGTTTTCTTAGTTGATAGTGCATTTGCGATATCTAAACACATTTTAAAACCATTTCCTCAAAAAAACTTAACACATGACAAGCGCATTTTTAACTACAGACTATCACGCGCGAGAAGAGTAGTTGAAAATGCGTTTGGAATTTTATCATCGCGTTTTAGATTGTTTAAAAAGCCGATAATGGTTGACGTTAAAAATATTGATGTAATAATTCTAGCATGTTGCGCTCTGCATAATTTTTTAAGCAAAAAATCAAAAAATTACATAACAAATAACTGTGTAGACAGAGAAGATTTTGAATGTGCTACACTCCGAGGCGGTCTTTGGCGGCAGGAACAAACATTGTTGGATGTAAATCAATGTAATCAATCAAATACAGAAGAAGGCAAAACCGTCAGGAACATATTTAAAGAATATTTTAATGGTGTAGGCAGTGTAGATTTCCAAGAAAAGATGATAAATGTATTGGGAAACTAAAATTTGTAATATAATGTATATATATATATATATATTTTAATCACTGTAAACATTTAGTCTGTAGTCTTAAATTTGTATCTAATTAAGTATTTTTCAGTAATCTAACATAAGATATATTTTTTATCCATAATACATAGTTTTTGTTACATTATACAAATTAATAATACAATATATTAATATAGGTATTTTCAATGAATATAAATTAAGTTAATGTTACCTAGTAAAATGTATTATGTAATATTGTTTTGATTTTAATAAATAAATAAAAAAATAAAAACATTATAATTAATCATTACCTCATCATCACCACTGAAATCGATAGTGTCAATTCCACTTATACTTGTGTTTTCTTTTTCATTTAGAAATGTTAGGTATTCAAAATACCATAAAGATGGCACATAAATATCTTTTAGACCAGCACCAGTTCTTTTACTATCTTGTACCTGCAAGTTAAATTATAAATAATAATGTGCAATTTATACTATAATAGGATATTTTAGTGGTTTGTATTAAATAGCTATATATTTTTGTGTGTGTATATAATTATAATTTTTTTTTAGTCAGTTTTTATGTCTTTTCTATGACATAATTTAAATTCATTAAAATATAATTATTTCTTATATAAATAATTGAGTTTTCATTTATTTATATTAATCATTAATTTTCTTATTTAAAAAGTATTAACCTTAGACAATTTTTGTCTTTTAGAAATTGAACGGAGTGATGAATGTATTGATTTTACAATGATGTGTTTTTTTTTTTTTTTTTTTTAATTATAATAAACAATGAATATTAAAATTAGGTACCTACTTTTAAAAATAATTGATTTGTTTACCTTTTTAAATTCTCTTTTGTATGCAGCTCTCATATTCTCAATTTTCTTTTTTACAGTTGAGATACTAGCGTCATTGTCTATTATTTTTAATTTTTCTTTTAATAACTCAAGCGCCTGGTTTCTTGCATCCCTGTTGCTGTACTGCTTACAAGTAATATCCCATAAACAAGTAAACGATTTGTACATTTCTAAAAAATCCAAAATCACTTCTCGTTCTGTTAGAACAGCAGTCATTGTAAAATGTAAATTTAAAAATGTAAAAACACTTTAGATTAACTAGAATCTAGACTATAATAATCTAAAAGAAATCTAATAAAATTATAATCTACTGTGACAAAGATAATCACCAGTCACTTTCCAATTCCCCCTGCACACCGCGGCACCAAACATGTTGAACAATAATATTAAGTCGTCTCATATTTATTTTTAAACTGTATTTGGGTATTTACCTAAAGGACTTGCTACGTAGAACCACAGAATAGATTAAATAGAACGCGGGAGGCGGGCGTACGCCATGCGCACAGGCAACTCCAGCTAACGTCTTAACTGGAAGTACACATGGAGATACACACGTGTTATCACTTTAACCTCCATAAACCAACTAAAATCCGCCCGACAGTGCTACACACTATATGATTTGGTCGGTCGGTCGGGCGATCAGATGGTATGGCCACCTGACAAGACCCGACAGGATTAAAGTCAGACGACACGTCTACACACGACCTGATATGACGTCTGATCTGACCAAATTATCCTGTCGGCCCGACCAAATCAGGTAGTGTGTAACGCGCTTAAGACTTTTTGCACCACCACCCGCCCAGCGTCACCACGCAAGTAGCCAGCAGACACACCACAAAACCGGACCGCCGCTGCCGCCCAAAGCGCCGCCGTCGTCCCTAATCGCGATAGTCGACCGGATTACACACACATACGTACCCGCGACTATACATTACGGAAACCGGTATTTGTGTCATCGGCAAGCACAATAAAAATAACCCAGAGCCCATTGACCTATATTCGTACGAAAATAGACACCGATACGCGGTCAATACAGATCGGAAGAACGCGATAACCGTTCCACCGATACCGTAAACATTTAATATTTTTTCTTGAACATAACACCGGAGATACTACCGGACATTATGGCAGGAAAACATATGAATGAGTTGACCGCTGCGGAGTTACGCTATGAATGTAGTCAACGCGGGCTAACGGAGGCAGGCACGAAGGATGCACTAGAAATCCGCTTAGCTCAGCATTTCGCGGAGATGGGCCTACAGGCAAACTCCATACGATTCCAACCCATGGAAACCATTGGGCCAGCAGGAAACGACGCCGACGGAAGCCAGACGTTTAACGCCGGACAAACCGAGACGCAAATGGATGACCTTATACCCGCCCAAGTACCGCCAAAAACACCATCCACACCACACACATACACCGCCCAGAATGCTACGGATATGATGCTATCAGCCCGTAGTATATTAAAAGAGGCACGGCAGTCGGCGGAAAGCGTGCTGAACAAGCACAGCTTGGAGTCGCGACTATCCATGCTAGAGGACTGCATGTCTCGCTTTGGCGAGGACCAACGCCGTATAGCGGAGACAATGCGCCGACTGGAGATGGGTATGACGCGCTCGGCACCGGAAAATCAACCGGAGGCTACCGAGATTAGCCGACAACAAGGTGCTGCGTTATCAGGACAACACCGGAACACACCGGAAGCACCGCCGTTACACAACGCACAGCCTCACCCGTATACGCACGCGGGAGTCAATACGGAATACGGAGCGAGAATCCCCGCGGCACGTGAAACACCGGCCGCGGGCAACCACCACGCAAACCGAACCGTACACTCCGATAACGCGTCGTATGCTAACAATATCACCATCAATCCGCACAGTTATACAACACACCAGTCGACACTTATACCGTATGACGAGATACGCACAGTGAGATACTCGCTGCCGGAGTTCCACGGAACGACACCCGAGGATCCGGTACGGTTTATTCATAAGGTCGAATCGATTTTATATAAGACACAGATTGACCGGACAGGCTGGACGAGCATTATTGAACCGCAGCTTAAAGGTGCAGCCAGTACCTGGTGGAACACCATTAGGATACTGGACCTCACTTGGGACGAATTTCGTGTTGACTTTTTGCAAAAATTCAACAACATGAATATTCAGGCCCGGCTGCAGACAGAGATAGTGTCCGTCCGGCAAACACCAACACAGTCGCTAACGGAGTTTATTACACACAAAAACCAACTCGCGCGCCGCATCAATAACGGACCAATTCCGGTGCTAGCTGAACCGCAGCTAGTGCATACGATTGTCGGATTAACGCGCAGTGAATACCGTACGCACATAAGACTGCAGCAACCAACCTCCTTCGCGGATCTCCGACAAATTGCGGGTATCATGGATACACCAGATGACCCACCACCGGAACCGCTACCGAAACCATCGTTTAAAAAAGGCGGACAGTCACATGCACCGTGCCTATCCCACCAGCCGCAAACACGGAACAGTATAGCTGGGAAACCGCTACCGCGCGATCCGTGCAAGCATTGTGGAGGGCCGCACTGGAACAGTGACTGCCCCGAAAAACCGTCGGTTTCGGGAAAAGCCAAGTGAGTCGGCGGACAGTTGTCCGCACCGCCGTCTCAACCACACACACCCACACAAGTAACCAACCACCACCAATTATCGGCAATACCGACGGCGATATAACCATCAAACGCGCGTCGACACACTCGGCGTCTTCACATATATCGCCCGTCCACAAAAAGTTTTCCACAAGTAGTAGGTCATCACCACCACACACAACGACTTCTACCGCGAAATCTTCTAGTGTGCCGCCGGAATATATGCGTAGCACAGAGGTAACCGAATCGGACGCCCTGGTCATGGCGGTGCAAACCACCACCAAGGACACCGAAGTCGCGGTTAAGAACCAGTTATCCCGCTACACTATACATCCGACGTCGAAAAGTGTTAATCGAACATGCCCCGACAAAATTCCGACCCCAGCGGTTGAGCTCGAATTTAGGTCAGGCTTCGTAACAGCACTACTCGACTCCCAGGCACAAAAATCATATGTAAGTCCGAAAATTGCACACACATTTGGTACACTCAAGCACGGACAACCCACCCACGTACGAATGGCGGACGGACACACCACAACAACAAGTGGTACCGCCACATTCAAAGCCAGAATCAGAGACCTCACGGTCACTTTCACCGCATCCGTTCTGGAGAATTTATACTGTGATATGCTCCTAGGACATGATTTTCTGGTAAACAACGAAGTTACCTGGGACTACACAACCAGTACTATACACTTGGGCGCTCATAGGAGAACAACGGCGTGCTGGAAAGGCCGGAATGACACACCCCGCCCCACGCCAGTTATCGAAAATCTGATAATACATGGTGACCCACACACGCGCGCGAAAATCACCGAAGTAATTCGAAATTATCCGGACGTTTTTAGCGGTAAGGTAGGTCGCACCAGATTAATCGAACACGACATCCTCCTAAAAAACCAAACACCAATAGCGCTCAAACCATATCCTTACCCACACGCGAAACAGGTCGTAATCGACACCATGATAAGGGATATGGAACAACAGGGACTGGTAGAACCGAGCACCTCCCCATGGGCGGCACCCGTCGTCTTAGCAAAAAAGAAAGACGAATCACCCCGACTCTGCATTGATTATAGACGGCTCAATGATGTCACTGAGTCCGACGCTTACCCGATGCCGGACCTCAACACTTTGATACGTCAAATGAGAGGTGCAAAAATTTTCAGCATTTTGGACCTTAAGTCGGGATACTGGCAAGTACCACTTAACCAGAATGCTCGAAAATACACGGCATTTCGGACACGCCGTGGTCTATACCAATTTCGAGTCCTTCCCTTCGGGCTCAAGAACAGTCCAATGACCTTTGTACGACTTATGAACGAAGCTCTGAGAGGGTACCTGGACGAGTTCGTCCGCGTCTATCTAGACGACATAGTGGTGTTCTCAAACACTACGGACGAGCACCAGTGCCACTTAGACAGAGTTTTGGAGCGACTACAGAGACACGGGCTAACATGCAACACCGAAAAATGCAGTTTTGGATCAACCGAAATCTCTTTTCTCGGACACCTAGTCACCTCCGACGGAATAGATAATCAACCGTTGAAACTAGAATGCATCATGAGTTTCCCACCACCGACAAAAATAAGGGACCTTCAGAAATTCCTGGGCGTCTGCAACTGGTACAGCCAGTTTGTTGACAACTATGCGGATATTATAGCACCCTTAACGAATAGGCTCAAACAAGGTACTAAGTGGGCGTGGACCGAAATCGAACAGGCGGCATTTATGAAAATAAAACACGCGCTGTACGATTCGCCAAGACTGTCGACACCAGATTACGGAAAACCGTTCTGCCTACAGACTGATGCTAGCGAGATAGGAGCAGGTGCCGTTCTTTTCCAACGGGGTGACAGACCGGAGGAAAGACGGATAATCGCCTACGCTAGTAAAAAGTTTAGTGAAACGCAGACTAGGTACGCCGCGGTAGAACGCGAGTGCCTCGCGATAATCTGGGCGACCGACAAGTTTAGACCATACTTAGAAACTCGCCACTTTGACCTATTCACGGATAACTCGGCCCTCACATGGCTCCATCGAGCCAAAAACACGAATTCCAAGTTAACCAGGTGGGCACTACAACTAGCTAACTTGGACTTCAAAACCACTCATGTGCCCGGTGTACAGAACGAGGCACCGGACATGCTGTCACGCAATCCAGCTCCCGGGCCCCCAGTAGACGAGGACCACCTCGAGGACCGACTAGTAGGAGTACCAACCACACCACCCACTAACACTACTAGCGCACCGGCCAACAATCTGTTCGCCACTACGGACCCGGACAACAACAATAACGGACCACCCATTACCCACGCTATGCTCGCAGAGTGGCAGGCCAATGACCCAACCACGCGCGACATAACGGACAACATAGCGCGCAATAACGTAGATACCACGGAAAAAAAAACAAATATGTTTTTACCGACGGTCTTTTGCGAATAGAATTGCGCGAACACTCCCCCATCATCATTCCACTAAGCAAAGCGCAGAATGTAATCTGGATATACCACGATCACGTTCTCGCTAACCACCCGGGCTGGTAAGAAACCTACAGGGCGATAAAGCATCGGTTCTACTG